GAGAAAAAAAAAAAAACACCGTTATCGTGTTAACATCGAGACAAAACAGGCAGTGATGCATGGCTAATATGCATATTATGCATAATATGTAGGTCACAGCTGTGTCTGTGCTAATGGTACAAAAGAATTCAACAGTAATGTCAAAGATTAACGATCCGAAAACCAGTAACATTTTATAGTTATACTATAAAAGATGTGGGAGGTTAAGAAGAGGGGAATTCAAGAAGACAAATTTGAAATCTTAAAGTAGATAATATGAGGGTCAAAGTTCCTAATGGCAGCAGAGGGATGTCTGTACAATCAGTAGGAGGAAAAAGTACTGAACAGGAGAACAAACAGGAAGAAGAATGAGCTTATAAGGAGAATTTAAAAAGACAAAAAATTCAAGGGGAAAAAATTAAAAGGGAGAAGAGATGGGAAAAAGCCAGAAAATACAGGTAAGAGAGAAAAAGAACAAATCAAGTTTCAGTAAAACATACAAACTAGTGAAGAAGAAAGTGAAAGAAAACAACACTCCCTTGTTAAAAAAAAAAAAAGAGAAAGAAATGGAAAACAGAAAGGAGAAGAAAGAATTATTTTTTATTTTTAACATGTGGGTTTCTTCCAGGATCTAGTTTGGGGGATCCAAGTACAGACCCGCCCTTCCTCATGCTGACAAATAAAGACGGGAATGAGGGCCCAAAGCTGTGCTGGATGCCAGCATCAGCAGGCATCAGGTAAAGCATGCCACTGCCTTACTTTCAAATCAGGAGTAACTCCGGTTGGACCTGGAATATGGCTTTCAGAGTGTGCCCTAGGTCCTTTAGCTCAGATGCCTCTTGGGCTCTCTTTAAAGCCTGCTGGTTTTTTTTTTTGTTTGTTTGTTTTTTTTTTTGAGACAGGGCCTCACTATGTACTGAGGCTGACCTGGAACTCACTGTGTAGCCCAGGCTGGTCTCGAACTCACAGCGATCCTCCTGCCTCAGCCTCCCAAGTGCTGGGATGACAGGCGTGCGCCACCACGCCCGGCTAACGCCTGCTGTCTGAATGAAGCTGTCTCTGGTGGTCGTCTCTCAGGCATTTCCTGTGAGAAGGTACAAATGAAGCCATGGAGGGAAACCCTGTGGCTACTCTGGGTCCTGGTTTCAAACAATCAACTGTTCTGTGGGATGGGTATCTGGCCAACTAACATCTCCAGGGCTGTGACAGTCACTTGCACTAATGTCATCAGCTGTTGCTTGTGAAAAAACTCACTGGGCACAGAGTTGTACACTGTCCCTGCAGGTCACAGCAGTGGTGTACCATGTCTGTTCAACTACCTTTCTCCTCGTGTAGCCTGGGGCGCCAGCATTTACTTTGGTTCTATAGGTCGTGAGCCATCATGGGTTGGGTTGCCACAAGCCACAGAGAAAGTAGACATGGCTTCTTCTCTTCTGTGCCTTGCGTTATTTCTTAAAAATTTCTGTGCATTTTTAATGTTCCTGTCAGATCCCTCTTGGTTCATAGAAATCTAGGTCTTTGATGCTTCTCCAGGTTTGAGGTTCTCCAGAGCTCGGATTCTTAATCTGTGAGGTTGATTGGACGACTCTCACTACTCCACCATTTTCCACACACTGAAATATAGTGTCATATTACGACCATTACAAATGTTGCTATAAATGACTCACATTTATTCTCTGAGGCAAAGAAGGACTCCGCTGTAGCTAATTGTATTTTCTTTACCCATTTGTCTGTCTTCATTTTCTGTATCTATGCCTTTTAGAAAACTCAATAAGTTCATTGGTACATTTTAGGTATACAATAGGATAATATCTTTGGGAATTTGCATATTGGCATGATATATCTTGGCTCTAATTTTTTCCCCATTCCCCTGCCCTCTCAGAAGTCTGCCTTTTATTATTTTTTAATCTTCCCTCATTGCTCTGGATAAAGTTTTGGGAAACATATTAAAGGGGGGTTTTCATAGTGAACAACTTTCTCTTTTTCTTAATTTTTAGGAAAAGCTTTTAGTTTTTTCTCATTTAATGTGATGCTGCTCATTAATTTTTCAGGTGTCTTTACCACACTGAAATAAGATCTATACCGGAAGTACACTTTAAAAAAAATTACGAATGCTATATTTTGTCAAAGGCTTTTTCTGAATCTATTCAGATGACTGTGTAATGTTTCGTTAGTCTCAGATTTCTTAATTCTGCTTTGATCTTTGTAATTCCCTTCCATGTACTATCTTTGTATTTGGGGTATGCTTGTTTTTCTACAATTTTGATACGCATGATTAGGTTATTTATGTGGACTCACTGTTTTTCTGATGTGAACATTTGGAACCATAAACTGCTTACTCAGCAGTATCCATTCCGTTTTTTTTGGCATTTACTCCAATATCTCTAAGATGCATAAGAACATTAATCATATGTAGCACATTTGAACTTCATGTCTGTGATGTGTGAAGGACCCATGCCAACGTGTGCCTATCACCGTGGGAGAAATGATCGCTATGAGGTTTGAGACTTTGGTGAAGACCTATGTTCTCTGTGCTTAAATTTTCATTGTAAGCAAAAGCTTGGGAGAACAGAAACAGTGGTGAAATGCATTAGCAACAATTATGTAATCATAAAAGTAGTGAATAAATCATAACACAAAACTGAAGAAATAAACTAAGTACAGATTATTATTGTTAGTAAAACACAGGTCTTTTTTCTTTGGGATTTTTTGTTTGTTTGTTTTGTTTTTGGTACCGGGGATTGAACTCGGGTCCTTGAGTTTGTGAGGCAGGTGGCAGAACCACTGAGCTAAATCCCTGGCTCTTCTTTGGGTTTCTGAGACAGGGTCTTGCTATATATCAGCCTGCCCTCAGACGCACTATGTAGTCCTGACTGGTCTTTAAATCATGAAAATCCTCCTGCCTCAGGCTCCCACATGCTGGGATTACAGCTTGTGCCACCATGTTAGGCAGATAAAACAGAGGGTTTACTCAAGAGTATTAATGCACTGAGCTGCATTTGCAGCTTTTCACATTTTGATAAGGTGCTTAGGTAGGGTGGTATTAATCATGCAGTTTATCTATGCTTTAAGTGGGTAGGATTACAGAGAAAGCAGTAGTATCATCTAGACTTTTTGATACTAAGATGGTGGTAGATGTGCTCAGGATAAAATGTCATCTTTTCCCATTTCGTCTGGCTGGAACAGCAGTGTGCACTGTGCAATGTCTGATACAAATGAGAAATTAGCTGCATGTTCCAGCATGTGAAAACTAATACTATATTCTGCAATGTAGTATATTTCATGAAGTACAGGATACATTTAATATTTCATTATAAAATAGACATACATTTGCCAGGCATGGTAGTACATGCCTGAAATCCCAGAACTCAGGAGTCTGAGGTGGGAGTATTGTCAGGCGTTTGAGGACAGACTGGGCTACATAGTGAATTCAATGCCAGGATGAACTACATGGTGAGATTCTGTCTAAAAAGAAATGAAAGAATGGATAAATAAAATGGACAGTTTTTGTACCAGGGATCAAACTTGGGCCCCTGCACTTGCAAGGCAGGCGGTGAAACCACTGAGCTAAATCCCTGGCTCTGAACATAGTTTTTGATAACACCATCTGCTTTATGGCAAATTTAATTTTCTAAGCATAATGAACTCAGGTTAGGAGGTGTGGGAGTTCAAGCCTGGCTGGGCCAGGTGCGCCACACTCCTGTCTTCTGAGCAAACTTGAAGATCTCTCTGAGGCTGAGCTAACTCGCCTGTGTAGACCCTGGGTCTAACAGGCTGTACCTCCACCTTAGTCCGTGACTCCTTCACCTCGCCTAAGAAGAGTCATCCCACCATGTGTCTAGCCAATAAGATATCGCCCAATGTTCTCCACTACCGCATAACCTATAAGAAAGTGCCACGTAATTAAATGCCCCTCCCATGCTCCTCCCTCATGGTTGTCCACACCTAAGCTATATAAGTCTGTGCATTTCCTAAGAAAAACAGAAGCGTTCCAGAAACCTCCCAAGATTGTGCCTGGTAATTCTGCGCCTTACCCTCCCAGTCCGAGCTCCCAAACTGAACTCCACCGACCAAAGAGCAGATGACATAAGGAGGCATACTGTTCACAGTGTTAGGACTACTGTCACATATACTTTGACCTTGCATTATTAGAATGCAACCCCATAATAAATTAAGGAGCTACTGAACTAAGGACAAAACAATTCAGAATATTTTACAAAGCGCTGCAGAATTAGGAAAGAAGGCAAATAAGTCAAGGATGCTAGGTGGTCTAACTCTGACAGCTTGTGTACATCTTATGTGTTGGAAGTGATATTTCCTTCAATAGCCAGACCGTGGTACTGAGGATGACAAAAATCACTATAGATTATCTCCACAGTTGATAAAACAATACAAACGAATCACAGAAATTATTTTTAACTGAATTTTCTCACATTAAAAATAATACTGATTTCCAAAGCACAAATGTTATTCACAGCATCAAAAAATAGAATAAAGGACTCTTTAGTTATAAAGAACAGAAATTAATTTTGTAAAAAACAAACAAACAAGACTTCAACCCTGTTACAAATTCCTGTGAGAGGAACCAGGGATTTAGCTCAGTGGAACTGTGCCTGCCCTGTAAGCACAAGATCCTGAGTTCCTTTCCTGGTAAAAAAAAAAAAAAGAATAAAGAAAAAAAGAAGAAACAAGTTGATTGACTTGTGCATCTAACAGTGAAAAATAAAGGAAAACAAATATCTAATTTGAGACAATATTAAACTCCTATGCTATTGCTTAAAAGAATGTAAAAAATTATGTGAGCACACTTATAAATCAATTTAAAATTATTTAATCCAGGGATCTACTTTAAGACTGAATTTACAATATTCATGCTTTAGAACATCTCCTCTGGTGGTGTTTTCTTTTTTTTTTTTTTTTTTTTTTTTTTTTTTTTTGGTTTTTTGAGACAGGGTCTCACTATGCAGTTGAGACTGACCTGAACTCACTATGTATCCCAGGCTGGTCTCGAACTCACAGTGATCCTCCTGTCACAGCCTCCTGAGTGGTGTGATTATAGGCATGCACCACCATGTCTGGCTTGATAGTGTTCTCTGGAGCAATAATTGACATCTCATTTTTTCTTTTTGGTACCAGGGATCGAATTTGGAACCTTGTGCTTATGAGGCAGGCAGCAGCACTTCTGAGCTAAATTCTCAGCACTGACATCTCAGCTTTAATTGTCTAACATTTATAGTTTTACACTACATGAGAAGTGATCAAGATTTTGAAGATGAGTTATAACAGAACTTCTTACATTCAAAGGGATTTGATACATTATTCACTCTTACGTGCAGGACATCTGAACCTGTGTACATTCCTTAATGTTTTTGCACAATGCTGTATTTGCAATATTAAACCAAAATGACTCTAGGTTTTTTCATGATATACACTGACATGAACTTCTCCACTGTGTAATGCTATTTCATGACAAGTCATGTAAAAATGAACTTTTCATGTTCTGTATTTGTATTGCTGCTATGAATTTGTACAAGTTATGGGAAGCACATTAATACTTTTTTACATTATTTACAGTGTTTCTCTTCAGTGGGAGTTCTTTCATGTATTTCAAATATATCTATATAAATATAATCTATGTATCTTCCCTTTTGTGTGACTTCTTTTTTTTTTTCTGGTTCTGGGGATCGAACTCAAGTCTGTACCTGCGAGGCAGGTGGCAGAACCACTGAGCTAAATCCTCAGCTCCTCTTTCATGCGTTTGAATTGAGAAAATACTTTCTCATATTGTTCACTTATGTGCAGACTCTCTTCACTATGAATTCTTTCACATATGTAATAATACCTGTGAGAACTGAAAGGTTTATTTTTTTTCCTCATTGAGTTTACTGGTACATTTTAGGTATACAGGGAAGTTACATTCATCATTGGGATCTTGTACCTTTACATGACAGGTCTTGGTGAAAGAGGTTTTATACTGTACAAGAAAGAGCTTCTCTCCAGGCTGACTGCTGTTGGCATGACTGTGTAGGTTGTTAATTTTCTTACTTATTTTCTAATGTGTTCAAGGCCTTCTGCAGTATTACACAAATAATAATGCTCCCAAGTCTAATTCACTTCATGTATGACAGTACATGTATGTAGTGAATGTATTTTCATATGGCTTAGAGTAGTTCTAGAGTGTGTTGCTTCATGTAGTTGACCATGATAGTATGTCCTGAAGGCTTTCCCACACAGCTTACATGCATGGGTTTTCTCCACATTATGGTTTCTTTCATGCCTTTGACAAACACCACTTGTGCTAAAAGCTTTCCCACATTGCTTACATACATATGGTTTTTCCCCAGTATGATTTCTTTCATGCCTTTGACAACTACCACGTGTGCTAAAAGCTTTCCCACATTGTTTACATGCATAGGGTTTTTCCCCAGTGTGAGTTCTTTCATGTATTTGACAACTACCATGTGTGCTGAATGCTTTCCCACATTGCTTACATACATAGGGTTTCTCCCCAGTGTGACTTCTTTCATGCCTCTGACAACTACCATGTGTGCTGAAAGCTTTCCCACACTGCTTACATACATAGGGCTTCTCCCCAGTGTGACTTCTTTCATGTATTTGACAATCCTTATTTCTGCTGAAAGCTTTCCCACATTGCTTACATATATGGGGTTTCTCTCCAGTGTGAATTCTTTCATGTATCTCACAGTAACTTTGTGTGGTGAAAGCTTTCCCACATTGCGTACACATATAAGATTTCTGCCCAGTGTGAATTCTTTCATGTATCTCACAATAACTTTGTGTGCTGAAAGCTTTCCCACATTGTGAACATACATAGGGCTTCTCCCCAGTGTGAGTCCTTTCATGTATTTCACAATAACTTTGTGTAGTGAAAGCTTTCCCACACTGTGTACACACATAGGGCTTCTCCCCAGTGTGAGTTCGTTCATGTTTTTGACAATGACTTTGCGTTGTGAAAGCTTTCCCACATTGTTTACATACATAGGGTTTTTCCCCAGTGTGAGTTCGTTCATGTGTTTGACAATGACTTTGTATAATGAAAGCTTTCCCACACTGTTTACACACAAAGGGTTTCTCCCCAGTGTGACTTCTCTCATGCCTGTGACAACTACCATGTGTGCTGAAAGCTTTCTCACATTGCTTACATACATAGGGCTTCTCCCCAGTGTGACTTCGTTCATGTGTTTGACAATGACTGTGTGTGCTGAAAGCTTTCCCACAGTGCTTACATATGTAGGGTTTCTCTCCAGTGTGGATCCTTTCATGTCTTTGACAATCCTTGTTTGTGCTAAAAGCTTTCCCACATAGCTTACATACATGGGGTTTCTCCCCAGTGTGAGTTCTTTCATGTATTTGACAATAACTTTGTGTGCTGAAAGCTTTCCCACACTGCTTACATTCATAGGGTTTCTCCCCAGTGTGAGTCCTTTCATGTATTTGACAACTATATTGTCTGCTGAAAGCTTTCCCACATTGCTGACATACATAGAGTTTCTCCCCAGTGTGCCTCCTTTCATGAATTTGGCAATTATATTTTGTGCCAAAAGCTTTCCCACATTGCTTACACATATAGGGTTTCTCCCCAATGTGAGTGCTGTCATAATTACCAAATGAACTGTTGTTAGTGGCTTTTCCATAGTGTTTACCTAAATAGGGTTTTTCTCCAGTGTGAGCTTTTGCATGTTTCCAAATACCATGGTGAGAATCAAAACCTTTTCCACGTGGTATACAACTGTATGTATTCATTTCACTGTGACATTTCCTCCCAGTATGACCACCGCTGGGTGTACTGTAGGATTTTACATCTTGCTTGCATACAAATGGCTTTTCTTCAACAGTACATTCTTCAGTACTATCAGAGTAGGGTTTTTCACATGGCATATATTCATGGGGTTTCTCCAGAGGACTTGTCTTTGCACATTTTTGAAAGGACTGGAGTTTTGTGCAAGTTGTCCCATGCTTGTTACAGTTACACAGCTTCTCTTCAAATCCCTGCTGCTCATGCGATTTGAGTTCAGTGTTAGCCATCACGGGCCCATCTGCTGACAAATGACCAAGGAGGGGCCTTCTAGAGGAAAGGCTTTCACCTGATTGTATACAAACCTGTTTCATGTGTGAATTAGTACCTGAAGTCCAAACAACCATTTCTCCACTGTCATACCATAATTTATACTGACAGGATTTCTCTCCCTCTTCACTTCTGTAAAGGGAAAAGTAACAAAACAACCAACAATATTTAAAAGTGTCTTTCAGTTATTATGATTTACCATGAGGAGTTCTGTTTTGAGTCCCCTAGGAATATTTAATCATGAACTTATTATACACTATGGATGATGGCTTGGAAACACTTTTACAACAGTAGGATTCATCTGAGAATTTGAACTTGACACATCTATAATGCCTAATAATGCTTTCACTCTGAGGAACTGTAATACATCTTGATGAGACATATTCCATATATCCATGCCTTTGGATGCCCTTTCCTCCCTGACTCCCCTCCACTGAGTGCTTCACCCTCTCCAAAATGTCTGCCCCTCTCTTTTCTACCATCTCTCCTTTGTTTTTCTCCTTAATCCATGTTTCTGGATTCTCATGCAAAATATAATTTGTGATATTGAAATTTCTGTATCTAATTTATTTAATCTAACATTATGGGCTCTAGGTCCACCCATGCTTTGGCAAATGACATCACTTCATTCTTTTTGTGGATGAATACTATTCCATTATGTGTAAATACCATGCTTTTCAGTGCTTGAAATTGAACCCAGAGTTTTAGCATTGAGATATACTCCCAGGCTTATTTTTTTTATTTCAAAACAGTCTCACCAATCATTAAGCTGCCCAGGGTGTGCACGAATATATGATCTTCCTGCCTCAGCACCCCAGAGTGTTAAGATTCCAAGCAGGCCCCTTGATGCCCACACTATCCCATATTTCCTTAATCAAATCATCTGTGAATCAGCACTTAGGGTTTTCCAGAGCTTATTTTTTTTTTTTTTGTACCGGGGATCGAACTTGGGTCCTTGTGCTTGTGGCACAAACAGGCACAGGTTGGCAGGCGGCAGAACCACTGAGCTAAATCCCCGGCCCCAGAGCTTAGCTTTTAAATCTACTATAAATCTGTTTATACAACAGTGTAATATGATTACTTTAATTATATATGTAGTAAAACTATAGCTGGATAAAATGCAATTTCTACTTTTACTTTTCTGTGGAATCTCTATACACATTTCCACAGATATTATTCCACATTAAGAGTTCCACCAAGAATATGAGGATGTGCCTTTGAATATTCTGGAATACGAATGGACTGTTTGCTTTGGAGAACTGCTTGAAAATAACTATGTTCAGAACAAGTGACATTCATTTGCATTTTGAATACATACTCAACATTAACAATTTTTTAAAATACTAAATGTATACATCACATTTTTTTGCGGGGGGGGTACTGGGGATTGAACTCTGGTCCTTGTGCTTGGAGGTAGGCAGTGGAACCACTGAGCTAAATCACCGGCCCCTACATCACATTTAATTACACAGTATTACAGAATTACTTATATAATTTGTTTGCTATGAAAGCGATTTAAAAATACACATTTAGCCGGGGATTTAGCTCAGCAGTTCGGTGGGCTGCCTTGTAAGCGCAAGGACCCAAGTTCAATCCCCTGTACCAAAAAAAACAAAAACAAAAACAAAACCCCCCAAAACCAAACCAAACCGAAACAAAAAAACACAAAACAAAAACACATCTATATATAATTAGATATCTCCTGTACTCAATGCTTTAATACAATTTCAATCAACATTTATAATTTTAAAATAATTTGTTTATTCTTTTACAGTGGATCAAAGATGTAACTTTGGCGTAATACCAGTACCACCTGCATTTCAGATAGCAGAATATTTCAAATACTCAATTGTCAGATTAGAGATATTCAATGTGTGTAAGTTCCTGGAGAAATTTTGTTAAGATTAAAGAAAACTGAACATGACTTTATTTGTACAGTTTGCTTGCTTTTTCTTGTTTTGCTTTCTTTCTCTTTCTTTATCCAGTACTGGGGATTGCACTTGCTTGTTTTAATATTCTGACAGATGAGGGACATTCTTCTCATGAGTGCAAATTACCTTAGACTTTTCCTGCAAGTGTTGTACTCATCTTCAATTTGCTCATCTGAGGTTCTTCCTAAAGTGCAGAAACAGAAATATAACGACTTACTGCATTATATGAAAATCAGTACATTTCACTGATTCACGGTACAAGGTGACCACGCTTACACCTCCATCTTCCAACTAAAGAAACTGCACTGGTGAGCACCAGCCAACGCTCTCTGATTTCATATGTGAGGAAACAATATCTTCCTTACCTATGGCAGCCAGGTTCCTAAAGGTTTCCCACATCACATCTCTGTAGAGCTTCTTTTGGGATGGATCCAGCAAAGCCCATTCCTCCCTGCTGAAGTTCACAGCCACATCCTCGAAGGTCAGTGCCTCCTAAATCATCAGACATGTGTTTCCAGGAAGCATGAGATTCACAACATGGAGCATCTCATTTCTATGCATAAAAGTTTTTCCCAGGATTACTTTATGTCTCGGTCATCACTCATTCCCAGGAAATAAAAAATATATGCAATACCAGGAAATTTGAATTGGAAACTTCCACACATGCATCTTAGCCATTCTCCCAGGGTAAAATTGCTTATTTTCCACCGGATGAATTCTGAAAAGTACCACAACTCACTCATTCGTTGAATGCTGAACTGTGTGTTTTCCAAATTTCACTTCAAAATTTAAATGTGCAGCCTAGAATTTAGCTCAGTGGAACCCATGCCTGCCTCGCAAGCACAAGGTCCTGAGTTTGATCCCCAGTACCTAAAAAACCCCAACAACAAAATTCAAATGTGTGTTTTTTTGCTGAACATTAAGAAATTCTCCAACAGTGGGCCCAAAGTTCAATACCCACACTACCCACAGTTACTACAATTCTGTTACATTCAGAATCTAGTTCTAATACACAACCACAAAATCAGATTCCAAAAATAATTATCTGCAAGTGGCATATTATAAAAGTCCATAGATATTTACACTCTTTGGGAAATTATAATAGTTTTAAGTTCGCTGTCCCAGGCTCTAGGGAGAATTATCATTTTAAAAAAAATTAGCATACATACACACCACTAGTCTGAAATTTACAAAAAGGTACATAGAGGTGAAACAATCTAAAGATTGATCTTACACTGGGTACTGTACATCCTCTAAGGACACAAATTACAATATTTTGGACATAAAAAGAAATAGATGTTTAATTTAACCCAAAATTATTATCTCGTAAATAGAATTGTTCACTGTCCACATAGCTTTGTTGGGCTTTGTTGTGCAAACCTGTAACCACACCATTCTCATAGCCTGAGGCAGCAGCATTAAATTCAATCCCCAGCTTATTCATCACAGAGACTATCAGAATTAAATAATAATATTAAAATTAAGAAATGTATGTAGCTCAGGGCAAATGCCCTGAATTCAATCTGCATCAAAAGTTCTCCCCAGCCTGGGCGACTAAGGAAGACATGGTGTGAAAATTAAAAAAGAAAAGTGCAGGGCTGGGGATTTAGCTCAGCGGTTCAGTGGCCTGCCTCGCAAGCGCAAGGACCTGAGTTCGATCCCCTGTACCACACACACACACACACACACCCAAAAAGTAACCCAAAAAAGAAAAGTGTGTGTGTGCATGCATGCATGCGTGTGTGCGTGTGTGTGTCTTACAGCAAATTCCTATGTTCAGTCCACATAAAAAAAAAATCAAACATCCATTACAATCTTTGTGTCTACGAGAAACTTCTCATTTTACTTCAATGATGATGTTCACGCTATTATTAACCCTATAAGACTAGTTTCCTAATTTCCAATTTTACCTCACAAATGATTAGGTGAACAATCAATAACAGCAGAAGACATATTTCTTTAGGGCGGTGACCTCTGATAACTCTCAGGCCAAGATAGAACACAATCCTTCAATTGTTGTCCCACTAAGAGCAATCTGACCTCTTCCCATATATGCCTGTAGACCCTGAGATTTACCTCTCCCTTGGTGCTTGTTTTTTTTGGGGGGGGGGTGGTTCCAGGCATTGAAATTAGGATCTTGCTTGCAAGGCAGATGCAGTGGCACTGAGCTAAGTCCCTGGCTCCTTGGTGCTTGTTTTATACAAAGCGCATCTCAATCAGCATTTCAATTTTAAGCCAGGTGAGGTGATGCATGCCTGTCATCTCAGCAGTGGGGAGGCGGCTCAGGCTGGAGAATTCCTGCAAGATGGAGGCCAGGTTGGCCTACAAAGTAAGTTCAAAGCCAGCCTGAACTACATAGGGAGACCTTGTCTCACAAAACCAAAAAAACTTTTTTTCAATTTTAATCAATGTCTAAAAACAATGCAAGGACTATAGCAAATATTTCAGAGATGACACCCCTTTCCTTTTTCATCACTGCCAATATTACAAGTCCATGTCCACATGGATTCCCCACTTCAATGTGTTTCTTAGTTTGGGTTTAACAGGGAGCTGTCTCAGAAATTTGTCCTTAGCAAGAACCATTTACCCCCAACTTGGTGTTGGGCATGAATTCTGTTGTGCTGCAAACAAGAAGGAGAATAAACTTTCAAGTTTCTCATGTTGAACTTTACTTCTGCTGAAGGTACACAGCCAGAAAAAGGAAAGTGCTGAGCGGGCCACCTTTTATCCCTGATGCACAGGGTCATCACTGTGCTGCTTTTTGGTGGGTGCGTGGCCTCACAATCTAACCTGATTGGCTATAGTTGAATGAGGTCTTGGTTGGTAGGCAGAGTAAATTCTGTGATTCGGAAAGTCCTTTGTTAGCAAGTTTTATGACAGGTGGACAGGCAGGTAGCCCTGTGTCTCAAGTTTTCAAATGGTGAAACAAGCACATGTACATTTTACAAAAATAGGTATTCTTTGGGCCAGGGATGTAGCTCAGTGGCACAGCACCTGCCTGGCAAAGGAGAGGTCCTGAATTCAATCCCGATACGGGGTGGGGTGGGGGGGTAATTCTTATAAAATGGATTTAAATTATTTTTTTGACATAGAAGACTACCTCTTTCCACACTGATAATACATTAACATCCCCAGCACATTTCTCAGCATTCTAAACTCTCTGAAGGGCCTCGTTTAATTAGTCTGATTGTAAATAATAGTTTATTTAGCTACCTTCTGAATAAGGCACCTAGCTAGGGAAAATGGCCCAAGATAGAATTGGGTTGTAAGCTACAGTGGTAAGAATGAAAATAAGAATACATAGAGTACTACAGAGTTTTCACTTAGAAATAATCACGCCGCGGATAAACCTCATTGGCTACGATACTGCCACTGCGCAAAGCCAGACCACTATAGATAGAAGACCAAGAATGACCTTCCTGGGGAAACATGGAACGCAGCGTTCTGTACTACAAGGTGCAGCCACTCCCCACCAAGCTCCCGAGTTTCCAGGAACTTCAAGGGCAAAATCACTAGTTTTTCTCTAAAATCCCTGTTTCCTTTAAACATTCAACAGTAAGAAAATGGGTTTGAAACCTCAATGGGCATTTTAAATAACACGGAATCACCTGCGATAGGCGGCCATTAAATAATCGAGAAATCACTATACACTGGAATGAGCTCTGGATTGAGCAGGCACAGGGCCACCCATCACAATGCTGCCAAGAAATCAGCGAGCTATTCTTATTTCCAAGAAAGACCCTTCTAATGCAGGGCCATCTGAGACCTATCGGCAGGGTTAGATAAGGGACTGGGCCCTTTAAGAAGCAGAAGAGACAAGGCCTCTTTGTCACAGCAAACAGCCTGACAGCCTGTAGTTTCACACTTGTGTCCGTGAAAGCCACAGACTGCTCGTAGGTCACTCCTCCAAAAGGAGTTGTTAAACTACTTGCTGAAAACTTTCTAAGCCCACCACGGCTGCACCCAACTCCAACCCACACTAGGGCAAAGGGCTCCCCAAAGCCCTCGCCGTCCTAGACTCGTGCACGTGAGGCCGTGCTGGGGCCACAGCAGACGTCATCCAGGGCTGGCAGTGTCACAATAGGGACAGGATGCAGAGGACCCGGAACTAACTCTGACCCAGTCAAGGGAAAAAGTGACAAAAGCACCAAAATCCAGCAGGGCCCCAGGGTCCGGAGCTAAGCAGGAGCTGCACCTCCCTGCAGCCGGCTCCGGCCGCGTCCTTCACCTCACCTGACTCCGCCCCGGCCCGCCTCGGCCCCACAACTTCACCATCGCGCGGGTCCCGGTCTCCGAGTCCTCCGAGTGCTGCCGGCGGCCGGCAGAAGTCACAGAAAGCTGAGCTGGCGGGGGACTCTCAGCGCCATACTGGGGACGCGCGCTTGGGCGCTATGACACCGGAAGTCCGCTCCCGTCGGGCTCACCCGATTGGACGGCTCGTACAGCCGCCTCCTCGTCACCGATTGGCTCCTGCACCGGGGCCCTCCCCTCCGCCCAGGTAGAGGAGAGAAGGGAGCTCCTGCCCGGGTGAGTGGAGCTCCCGGGATAGACTGGGACCCAGGGTCTCCCGGGACGGGACTCTCGCCTCAGCTCCCTCCCGAGAAGTGCGTTTCAGCCGTTTCCTCCTGG